CAAACCTTAAAGGAGAAGCAGGACACAGCTCGATGGAGGGAGATTCACATCAGACCAGTTACGGCAGTGACCAGCACAGACATTGCTTATCACAACAGCATCTCCCCAGGTGTCATTTATATCCATGATTATTCTGCCAAATTACTAACCAGGCGGTGTAGGCGTGGCCAACCCGCCGGTTCCAGATGTTTAGATGTTCCAGGGACGGTGAGGAGAGATTGGGAACAGCTACATGAGTGAGGCTGGCTCATACATGGATCGTCATGAAATGTGCCTCGTTTTCAGCAAAAACAAGTTGTGACTTTGGTTGTGACCCATTTCATTTTTATTTCCACCTGACAGTGTAACCCAACGTCCTGTGAAGTGTCTCAGTGTGAACATAAAGGTGACAAAGAGGCTGAGGGCTCAGTAGAGCAGCAGGTTGGTGGTGGGTTGTTTTTTTGCCTAAAACATTTAATTTCATCTGCGTCAGAAAGGAACACTGGTTCAGAGCAAGCCAATTTGTCTGAAGCATTAAATCAGACCTTTCTCTGTAAATGGGCAGCTGAACAGGCAACAGGGCAAAACATTGACTTGAACACAGAGGGTCACCACTTCCTGTTTCCAGTCTTCCATGACTTGAACCACACTGCTAACGTGACTCACAGAAGTCATTATCCAGCCAGCATCCCTTCCTCTCAGAATGTATTAGCTGTTGCAAATTATAAACCTCATTTCCCAGAGACTGCTGCTGGTTCTCCCCCCTCTTCAGGGACCCGGAGGCTCCTCCTCACGCCGCTCTCCCAGTTGCAGCTGTCAGTCAAAGGGGACAGCTGATGCGGTGCAGAGCGACCTGTGTCAGCAGCAGCTGGTGTCCATCATTCACAGCCTTTACAAAACAACATGGAGCTGATCACGGTATAAAATCTAGTCTGATTATGGGATGTGTTACATCTCCTTAGCTTCTCTCACCTCTTTTTTCCTCTGTCATTCTGTATGAACCCGATCTCCAAACAGGGCCCCCCACCCCCTCCCCCGGCCTGTAGATATTTATAGAAGGACGTCTGTCAGCCCTGCAGTGTTGCTTATCTCTGTGTGTGTCTCACTCTATTTCTGACCACATGCCTCTCTCACTCTGTCGTGCTCAGTGTGTGAGTCTGTGGTGGTGTTTGTGTGACAGTGGGACTCTCATTTGGTCTTGCAGGCTTTGCCATTAACCATCTGGATCTTTGAGCTGTTTCTTGGCTGTTTTTCCCAGGTAGGCCGCTGCGTCCTGTGTGTGTCTGTCCAGTGTACACAGGCAGTTAGAGATAATGAAGTTCTCCAGGCTTCATTTGAGCTGGTTAAGTGGGGCCTGGTCAGGGTTGGGGGGTGGATTTGACATTGAAAACAACACCAGCTCAGATATTCACTGTACTACTTCACTAGAACACTGGCTTTTACTGGTGGCTTGATTTTTATTGTGAAGTGTCCTCATGGGTTATAAGTCTATGAATGTGTGGGATGTGCAGTTGCTTACAAATGTGGTTCAACTGTAGTGTGAACTCTTCATGTTCAGGGTGTCACCTGAAACAAACCTGGCGACCGAGCTTAACGTTGAACCAATGGCACAGAACTAAACTGGATTTTAAAAGATTCTTCTTGTTCTTGCTGGTGACGAAGTGCTGCCCACTTGGCAAAGTGCCTCTATCTGTTGAAGCTCGTTGTCGAGCTGTTTATGGGGACTGACACAACCAGTGGCTTAACGTGGTGGTTACTGTCTGAGGCTGGGACTTCATGTTGTATGATCCAGATGAATTCGGTTTACAGTACATGCTGTAAGATTTTACATGAGTGATTTTATGGTCGTTGGAACAACTGGACTGAGGCACAAGAGGCTGAGAAATAAATGGGAATCAAAGTGTGTGAGTAGTCTGCTACAGAGTTTGACAAAGAATATTTTAAAAAACAAGTTTCCCAAAGGTGTCGAGAGGCATTAGACCAGACAAAAACAGAAAACTGTGGCGAGAACATCACAGGTATATTAAGACATTTCTTTATAACATATAAATACATTTTGTTTGGCTTAAGTTTAGAATAAACTGAAAGCCCCAGTTAAATGCAAGGAGGCCAGAACTAGAGAGATATATTTAGTGGTTCCTGTGGGAACAGCAACATTTTCCACAAACTAAACTGGGTTCTCCAGTCGGAGCCGTTAACCAGCTGTTCGTCCACCACCTGTTTATCTTAATACAACAGCAGTAGAAGGAACAAGGCATTAATTCCTTTGTTTTAATATTGGGATGAAACCCAGCCACTGCCAGCAGCTCCTTTCTCACTGCACTGTAGCTATTGTTAATATAAAGACATGAAGCTTTAAGTCTTTTCTCAACGTTTCCTGTGACTGTGTGTATTACATTTTTAGTCAGACCCCAGTTTTGTCAGGACTTATACAGATTGTGGAGACAGGTAAAAAGCTCATGGATGGATTGCAGGACCGGCCCACCGGGCACAGGCAGGGGGCCCCGGACCAGATCACTGTGAAGGGACTGTTACTCTTTCCACTGGGAAGTCAATCGAATGACAACAGAATGACTACAAAAAGCACAAAATGAGGAAAAAATAGACCAAACAAGTTCAAATAAGTGCTAAATGAGTGAAAC